GCGAGGAGCCGTGGGCAGGGGCGCGCCGCACGCGCCGGCGCCGCGAGTGGATCTCCGCGCGGAGCGGATGTCGGCCGCCCGGCGACCTGCGAGACGGGGCTGGATCCACCCGCCAGCAAGTTGCAGTTTTGTCCACTGCGGTCCTGGAAACTTGGAGCCTTGGCTTTGCGGGTAGGGATGCGCAGGGAGTAGCTGGCTGAGGGAAGGGGCCCTCGGGTTCCCGGGTGTGCGGGCTAACCGGGCACTTTCCCCGCCCCGGACTCGAGACTGGCAGCGAGTTGGGCGTTCAAGAGGGGGAGGGGAGAGGTGCCACGGCGTGGCCCGTGCCTGGAGATCGATCTTGATGTGTGCACTTGATCACACCCTTACTGCTAATCTCCCAAAACAGACCCCCCCCTCCGACAGCCACGGATTTGGGCCCCCGATGCGGTTTGGAGGCCCCGTTTGCGAAACTAGAGGTCTGTGAACCGTGTGATGCTCGCTCCATCCTTTGACCAGCGTGCCCCCGCCACCCCCCACCCCCCGCCCCAAGGTGATTTCCCAAAACTCGGTCGCTCTGTGTTTTGAAACTTTCTCTGCTTTTGCATTGCGCCTCTGCGTTTGCTGGGTACCCCGGCACCCTCGGGATGGTGATTCTTTTTGGAGGGGTTGTTGATGTAATTAGCTTTGCCTTCCCTTGGCTCGGGGCGCTCATGTTGGTGCCAGGGCTTGTGGTCTGCGAGGAGACTTCCAGGAAGCACAGCCACGAGGCTGCATGTGCCCGGTGTGTGGACACATGGTGAATTTTCCGGATAGTTCGCAGGCTTGGGGCACTCTTTCCTCCAGACTGCAGGCCAGCCTAGAAAATTAGAGAAGAAAGACCACTTGGGAGGGTGTTCAGGACAAGAGAGCAAGGTTTTTGTTTCTTTTGGGGGCTTGTGTTTTCCAGAGCGAGGCTGGCAGCACCCACTGGCCCACTCAGATTGGTGCCACTGAGTCCAGGCTGCGGGAAAGGTGGAGAAGCTGCATGTGTGTGTGTGTGTGTGTGTGTGTGTGTGTGTGATGTGGCTGGGGCCAAGGTCGCAGGGACTGTATCTGCTGAACTGTGAGTTATAGGATGTTGCAGGCCTATTTTGCATATGGGCAGAGACAAGTTGAGGCTTGTTCACTTGCCACCATTCTGTGGTCACAGCTAGTCTTTCTAAAGCTCTCCCCACAGACAGGGGGTTATATGGATCCTTGGAACCCAGAGTGGAACTTCCTGGAAGATTTACTATAGCAGCGAGCCCTTTGGGGGAGCGAAAGGACAGACAGAACCCATTCCAAGGCCTGGTCTCCACGGTTTTGAAATGAAATACGTGCTGGAGGTGAGGACGCCTCATGGTCTGAGGTGTTGGCACCGGGTCTGGGCTAATTCCGCTCTGGGTCTGGGGATGGAAAGGCTGGTGGCTCTCTTGTGGGCTGTAATGCTGGTCTCATGCACTGCCTGGAAGCAACTTGCTACAGCGTTCAGTGGTGTTGTGTTGCCTAATTAGGGGTGGTCGCCTCTTCTTGTTGGGTTACCTGCCTGGAGTGTAAGATTTTGCATATACTGGCTTCTTTTGAAAAGTAGACACCAGTTTCTTTTTCTGAGCGATTTTCCTTTTTCTCCCTGTTACACTGCCCGCCTCCCCCACTGTTCCATGGCTTGAGGGACACGGAGCTAGAAGGAGAGGCTGGTAGTTCCTCAGGGCTGTCAAGTCTTAGCTGTTTTAGGTTTGCATGACTGCTGGTCTAAAAATCCGGTGAATTTCCACCATCCCCACTGAATTAATCCTTGGTTTGGGGGAATTTTTTTTCCCTGCACGGTAGGCAGGCAGATCAGCTGGGTTCCAGAGCCTGTTGGTACCTTGTCTGGGGCTCTTTGCCTGCCCGAGATGGACACTGTCCCCTCACTGCCCAGCTGAGGGGCCTCCTGGCCACAGACACCCTTCCTCTTCTGTTTGTGTGAGGCCCGGAGTGTGCTCACATCACGGGCAGGTCTACCGTTGAGGACACCAAGGACTTTGCTGATGGATGGCCTGTGCTCTCTGGAGAGGTAGCCCAGGGGCTGCTTGTGGCTGTGATCCGCCCAGCTGTTAATGTCAATGGCTTTTCTGATGGTCTGGCTTGTTATTTATTTATTTTTTCTAGTTGGTTGTGGACAGGACCTTCTTGGAGAACCTACTGTCCCTTTCTCCTGCTGCCAGTTTCTGACCTCATTGAGAGGCCAGGCAGGGCATCCCCTGAGACACCCGGTGTCTCCGGGGGACCTTGACCCCAAAACAGAGCAGAGCAGACCCTGGAGAAGATGAACAGGTGAAGGCTCCTGTTGACAGTGACAGCGACCTTTTTTTTTTTTTTTTTTTTGGAGTGGTACTCGGGATTGAACCGAGGGCCTTTGCACTGAGCTCCACTGGAACCCTTTTTAAATTTTGTTTTTTATTTTGTTTTTTATTTTTATTTTTTTTTTGGTTTTGGTTTTTCTCCGGTACCGGGAACCAAACTCACGACCTTGCGCTTGCCAAGCAGGCGCTTTTGCCGCTGAGCTAAATCCCCAGCCCCTAAATTTTGTTTTTAATTAAGTTGCCCAGGCTGGACTCCAACTTTCAGTCTTCCTGCCTCAGCCTCCCATAGAGTGCTGGTATTAGGGGCATGTGCCACCACGCTGGGTGCACTGACATCTTTTCCGGAAAGTCTCAGAAATTCCAGGACTCATAGCCTGCCAACAGAATGAATCGTTTGGTAGGAGCCACCTCGGTCTCTGCTATGAGGAACCAATAAGAGCAATAATAAGAATTAATAATAACAGTAGAAGTGCGGCTGATAACCTTGAAATCCTTTGTTGTGCCAAGCACATCCTTTGTGCTCTGCCTGCGCTGTGGCTCTTAGAATAAAATGAGTGGTGATGTTGAAGGGCTGTGGTGGCCCAGGCTTGGCTCTAACTTGGTAGATATATGACCTCGTTTAATTTCCCACCGAATCTCCTGCAAAGCAGGATCCTTATTATCTTTATTCTGCAGATGAAGAATACATGGCTTAGAGGTTAAAAATATCACCCTGGTCACATAGCTTGGCAACATCAGGGCTGATGGGACTTGGCCCAGACCCGTCTGACTGATGGGCCTGTTCTTGGAAGTCAGGTAGTGGAGTTAAGAATGAGCAAAGGATGCTCCTTGGCCTGAGCTAGAGACCCGGTGTGCCCCTCTGTCCACACAGCTCAGGAACAGCTAGAACTCTCACCCTCTTGCCTGACAATACCATTTACTCTGGCCACACAGTGAAGCAGGCTGAGACCAGACAAAGGGCTGGGAGGCTGTGGGTGAAGTCACCGAGCGGGAGCGTTCAGCATGGTGGGTCAGGGGCCCTCAGGGCTCAGGCGGGTGCCCCCTGTGGGTAGCACTCAGAAGGCTCCATCCTGGTGGAGGATGTCCGATCATTTGCAGAAGGCTGTGGCTCCCTGTTGGGGCTGTGACCAATCCCATTCTGGGACTGTGTCCAGACTAATTACTTTCAACTTGCACAACAGATGGGAGACTAAGCTCTTGCTCGGATCACTGCCCTGCTCCCTGCCTGTTCGGAGTACAGCACCTACTTCTGTCCTGGGATGTCTAAGTCCTGAAGAGATTCCAAGCAAGATGAAGATGGTGGCGGCCTCCCTGGGCTCTATTGTTTAGAATGGAAACAGTCCCTGAGTGGCATGTCATGCTCCTGTAATCCCAGCCTCTCCGGAGGTTTAGGTGTAGACCGAGGCAGGAGAATTGATTGAGTCCAGTAGTTCAAGACCGGCCTGGGCAATATAGTGACACCCCATCTCGGAAACAGAAAACACAAACATTGGGCTACAAAACACAAGACTTTTAAATACATGATGTCAGATGGTCTCATTCTTCTTTCTGTTTCTTTTCTGTGCTGGGGATCTAACCCAGGACACTGCACGCTCCGGCATCCACTCTGTACTTCCGAGCTGGTCTCCAGCCTGTGATTTCATTTCATTTTCAAGTTCCAGAATTCTGAATTGTCTTCCTCTTTTGAGGGGATTGAGGGGGTGCGGGGATGTTGTTCTGTTTACCTGCTTTTATGCCATCACTGTGAACTCTTCGAGGTGAGGCGTCTGGTACCCAGAGAGCCCTGGTCTTTGTTGAATTGAGCAGCTCCCAAAAACGACTTGGTCTTCAGGAAGTCAAGGAGCTGGCGTTGTCTTGTTACATGTTTAACAGCTTGGCCTGGTGGGAAGTGGAGGGGCTTGTCTGCAGGGAAAAGGAAAGCCAGAGAGCAGCAGAGGTGTCTGGGGACATCACAGGGGGTCACTTCACCCTGGTCTCCTTGGCTGCAGAAGAGGGGTGATAAGGCACCAACCCTATAGGTTGCCTCGGAGACGAGAGGTGCCAAGCAGATGACTGGCAGAGGCCCTACATCATAGTAAGCACTCAGTACAAGGGAGCAAATATTATTACTGTCACGATTACCGAGTTTTATTACTTCCTGTGGCTGCATACAGCAGCGGTTTCTGTCTGCATGTCAGTGTGCACGGGTGACATTCTGGCTCCATACATCGTGAGGTGGCAGTGACCTCGCTGCAGTTCTTTGCAAGCATCGGAAAGAAAGTGAGCCTGGCAGATGTAAGCCAGAAAGCAGGAAGCAAAAAGGCCGCCGCCGGCTGGGATCAGGAAGTATAGGACCCAGGGCGCCTGTCGTGCAGCCCGTGCACGCTGCTGAAGCTCGCTGTGCTGAACTGGGGACAGTGGTTTCTTCCTGCCAGGGAGGAAAGTGCAGGCAGTGAGCTTCTGCGGAGACACAGCAGCAGTTGTCAGTGTTTACGCTTCAGGACTCTGTCTTCTTGGTGTGTCAGCCTAACACTGGCTGCTCCTTTGACTCATCGACTTACCGAGCGCTTACTCTCTGCTGGACACCACTATAGCTGCTGGAGATGGAGCCGGAAGGAGCAAGGAGACGACCCCTGCCCTCCTGTAGTGTCTACTCTAACCCTCCTGTAGTGTCTACTCTAATCGAGGCTGGGCAGTGTGGACCTCCGAGGGCCGGGAGAGGTGGAGGCAGTGCAGGTCAGGGCTGCACCAGCACCCGTGGGGTGTGGGGCTGGCACCTCCGCGTTCTGATGTCAGGTATTCCGTGGGGGGGGCCTGGTGCGCGGTGAGGACCATGGCACTGGCAGG